AAATAAACATATTCAGACAAAAACTGAGAGCATTTACCACTAAAAGAGCTTTGCTCAAAGAATTAGTTCAGAAGAAATATACTTCAAGAGCATTCCTTTGAGATATACTTCAGAAGAAACTGACCTCAGGAAGAAGCAGTAATATGTAAAATATTAGATAACTTTGAACAAATATTTAAGATATATGAAAGAACTAATTGGGGAGTAGAAAAACAGGGTGGAATGAAGGTTCCCGTCATACTAGCATAAAGAATTAGAAGAGATAGGTGGAGTTCTGACATTCAGGCATTTTGAGGAGAAGTGTGTCAATATTGATTAACTTTAGAATTTGTTAAATGATGTTTGTTTATTGAAAATTACGTAAAGACACTCATGTAAGAAGAAAAATAGTATGCATGATTTTCAAACCAGGAGAGAGGATACTATGATACCGTGGAATATGAAAAAAATGGTCAATAAAATAGATGCGAGAAAGGAAGAAAAGGAGCAGAAAAAAATCAGATTAAGGCTAAAGCCGAAAACAAGAAGACCAAAATAAATCTAGCAGAGTTCTGAAAATAAATAAAATTAAACTCTCACTTAAAAAGACATTGTCAGTCATGTTGGATTAGAAAACTCTTAACTGTATGCTTTTTATCTCTTTTTTAAAAAGACAGATTTAGAACTTAAGAACAAAGGAATACTGAAATGTCAAAATTTGAAAAATAGCAGCAAAATACAGGGTGTCTGATACATTGCACACGGACTTTATGGACAGCCTCTATCAGCCCAATGTAAGTGGTGTGGTAATGTTAAACAATAGAAAGGAATGTCTTTCAAGCAACAGAAATTATTAGAGAAAAAGTCACTAAATAAAGATAAAAAGGAATTGGGAAGATATAATTTGAAAGCACTAAAATGTAGCATCAAATTCTCTATGAAGCAAAAAAAGAGACAAAATTTCAGAGATAAATGGGCAATTCCATAGTCACAGGGGGAGAATTTTACCCACCTCTTCCAGTAATTGATATTCTCTGATGACAGAAAGAAAGGATATAGGAGATTAGAGCAAATCCATGAAAAAATGACCAAACAAGACCTAGGTAGAGAATGCACATTCTTTCCATACCCCACCATACTTACCAATAAGATCACATGAGGCCACAAGCAGTCCTTGATATGCAACAAAGAATCATATAGACTACCTTCTTGCATTCCCGTTAGCTACCAGTAGCAAAATTAAAACCAAACCATATACTTGGAAACAATTTTTTTAACCCTCTAAATAATTCATGATTACACAAGTGCCTTAATGGAGAGTCTAAGAACATATTTATAACGTGAATAAGAAAGTAAATTTCTATTCACTATGGGCACCTAGAAAAATATAGTTTAAAAAATGTATATGTGAAAATAGCAACCCAAAATGTAAAGTACACATAAAGAAATTTGTCAAAAGATGTAAAAAAAAAAAAAACCTTTAAATCCTTGAAGACCTAAATAAATGGAGAGATACACAATATTCATGGATTTATAGAATTGATTTTTAAAGATGTTGATTTTGTGCAATTTATAAATTTAATATATTCCAATTAAAATTCAAATGAGGATTTTAAGGTTCACAAATTGATCTAATTAGTAGAAGGTAAACAAAGGACCAAGAATGCCAGAACACCTTTGAAGAGGTAGTTCAACATAGGAGGACTCATTCCACTATAACAGCAAGGCTTAAATTGTAGTAATAGGAAAGTATAGTATTAGCAAAGGAAGATGCAGAATAGTCTAGAAACAGACTCACTCATACATAGAAATTTGTATAAAGCAGAGATGTCATTTCAAATCAGTAGGGAAAGAAGACTTAGTAGGTTTATCCATATGGAAAAAACAAATTAGATCCCTACATTGGACCATATTTAAATTGATTAAAGACTTATATATGAAAAAAGCATGACTTTAAAAGTTTTGGAAGAAAACGAAGGAGAATGTTTTTATGATCACGGTAAGAAAAGATTTCTTAAACATAACACCAGAAGTACAAACCATAAATGAAAAGATCAATAAATTTGATGATATTAAAATATTTATTTTATTATTATTTTTTAATCAGCTGAATTTAAGATTCATACATTAGAGTGTTTTTTCAAATGCTCTTTGGTAGGTGATTAAAGACATCATAAACAAAGGGCAAATACAAATCTTGGAGAGGAGACTTGGTGTGCTC